TTCCTCTTTGTTACGTTCCCCTTGATCCTGCCCTACCAGAAGACCATTCTAATTTTTAAAGTGAAGAAATATATCCAAAAAAAGTTCATTTTTGCCTCTCTTTAGTCTTTAATGAAAGACCAAAAAGAAATGTATCTTTACTTAATATTTCAATATCAATTTCTTATGCTTATTTCTACTTAATGCTGTAATAATTTTGATCAAAAGTAATTCTTTGTAAAAGAATTAAGTTTTCAGTCTGAAGAATAATTCACAAAGATATTTCCTATCTTAAGTGAGATATAATTTTTCCAGGATATTTACGAAAATAAGTGGTAGCACAAAAATCTACCTTTAAAAATCTAAATGAGGAACTAATACCAAGAGCTCAAGTAGAAAGAAAATGTTTTAAAAATGATGATGGCAACAAATGTACACATGTGCTTGACATAATGGATGTATGGATTGTGATAAGAGTTCTTTGAGCACCCAATAAAATGTTTAAAAATAAAATAAATAAAATTTAAAATAATAAAATTTAAATCTAGTAAAAAAATGTCAAATTTAGTAAAATGAATATTAAGGTTCAGTCAATAAGCCAATCATGATTACAAAAGTCAATTGAAGAAAATAAAGAACATGATCTAATGATGAACTGCATATTTGAGGTATTTCACAATATCATATAATTTCATATTGAGCTAATTTCACCAAAAAGGGTATTTTTACCCAATTGTATACATGATGCATTAGACTTATTTGGCTAGCAGAGATAATAATAAATACATTCAAACCAACCTTCCAAATGCATTAAACAATGATACTATTTCTTGTCTGGTTAGATGGAATTCATAACTGGGTCCACTTTCTGGAATATTTGCTATCAATTTCTCAGAAAACAAGATCTTCAGAGCAGTGCCCAAACCCTGAGTCTATAATACAAATAAAGAAAAAAGAAAAAAATCATGAAATTCTTCATGGAAAGAGTAAATGAGACAAAGGGTTAGATAGATTTGCTTACCTGAAGCTTTCCCCAGAGTCGACATTTAAAACAACCAACACAATCCATGATCCTGGAAATGTTTCTGAAATGCAAGCGAAAGTCCTCCTAAGAAACAAGTGAACAAACAGGTAGTAAGATGTCATTTACAATCAAGTAAGAGTATTTTCTGCGTGCCTTCTAAAGACTACACTGTGTTGGTGCTTTGGGATACTGAAAAAGAGGAAGAAAACTCCCATTTGCCAGTCTTTGAACACACAATCTCACTTAACCTTTACAATTTCAAAAGTAAGAATTATTATCACTACCTAACAAAGAAAGCAATGTTCAGTAAGTATTATGCATGAAATTGTTCCCTCTGAAAAATATAGCTGGAATCCTAACCCCTGTACACATGGATGATGCCCCATTTGAAAACAGGGTTTTCTTTGATAAATAAATGAGGTCATACCTGAGAAGGGTAGCTTCTAAATCTGATCATTTCTGAGCGATGGAATAAGTGGATTGACACAGGAAGGGGAGGGAAGAAGAAGATGCCATTAGAACAGTGGTCCTCAACCTTCCTCGTGCCGCGACCCTTTCATACAGCTCCTTAAGTTGTGGTGACCCCAACCGTAAAATTATTTTTGTTGCTACGTCATAACTGATTTTGCTGCTGTTATGAATTGGGTGACCCCTGTGAAAGGGTTGGTCATTTGACCCCTGAAGTGGTCGGGACCCACAGGTTGAGAACCGCTCCTTGTAGAGGCTCGTCTCTACAAGTCAGGGAACAAGGAACACCTGTGACTACCTACAAGGAAGAAAATGGCACGGCCAAGCTCATGGTTTGGATTTTTAACCTCCAGGGCTATGAGAAAATGTCTGTTCGTTAAAGCCCTCACTGTGGTACCTGGGTTACGGCAACACTAGGAAACTAAGGCGGAGAGTACGGTACTTTGCCTAAGTTCCTGCATTCAGGACAGAGGGCTGCCAGACCCTAAGCCAAACTTTCTGCAAATGCACGGGAAGACAACTTACTTAGTTGAGGTGTTATTTGCGTATAATAACTGACTACATATGTGTGTGACAGGTTAAGGGGAAGAGTGGAGGGTGTCATTTACCAAAAATGAAAAAGAAATATGAAATATTCACTGGCATGAAAGGTTTTAATCTGTTAAGCAGGGATCTGCACTTGGAAGAATTGATCCAGGAAGGTCCCCCCTGGCACCAATCTCCATACTTAGGGTTAGCACAGCCCAATAGAACGAGAGACGGAACTGTGTAGGGGAAACGTGTGGGTTTCAGCTCAAGGTGGAACTGTACTTTCATAGACTCCCCAATCTGACAGTGTCTGGAGTGCTGGGTCACTGGCAAAATTGATGATGACAGTAGTGTGATCAACTTATACCCCAGGGTTTATTGACAATGCTGTACTTCGTTTCTGTGGGTTTCTATTTTCCTGCCTTTAGCCTTTTGTTGTTGTTCTTTTTGTTTGTTTGCTGGTTGGCTTATGGCTACTATTGATGCAGTTGGTCTTACAGGGTTTTCTTTTGTCATTTTACGACCGCCAAAATAGAGTCCTGCATATCGCATGGGCATGCAGATGGATTCTGGGCGCTTACTAATTCTAGTCCCAATTCAAGAACAGTTAGTTCTGATAATATGCCCCTGCTTGACACTCACCTTCAACGAAATGATCACTGGAGATAAGGGTGCTACAGCAAAGTGTAGTGAAGAAAGTAGATGGTGCCAGGCTATCTCTCAGAATAGTGTCTGGGGTGTTAAAGGCTTATATTCAAATAAGCAGCCATCTAAGTGAGGAGGTCAACTAAGTCCACATGGAAAAAGCACACCAGCTTGTGTGATCCAGAGATGACAGTTAAAAAATTAAAACATGAGCCTATAGGGGCAGCAAGTAGAATAAGGGGTTCAGGAGGAGGGTAGTACAGTGGTGCTGGTGGGGTAAGAGGGAGACGATGTCAAGGAGTCCATGTAGAAAAAGAATGTTTAGAAACTGGCTATGGTAGCAACTGTACAATTCTACTTCATGTGATTGAAATAAGGAATGACATATGTATTAAATCCCAACTAATAAAAAAATCAAATATGGTGAAGGAAAAAGTATCAGAACTATAATTACGAACACCCAATTTATAAAAGGCTATGGAGGACAGTGGGAGCCCAAAACCCATCTGCACAGTATCTAGTCTGATTAGGCCACTGGCGGATCCTCTCTGGCCACATGTGGGCAGGAGTCTAACACAGCCTTACTATCAGGCAGAGAGCATTATAATCATGACTACACTGGATGGGACTCATAGGGGTGGAGGTGGGAGACAGGGAGGGTAAGAGGATTTCAGGAGTAAACAATGAAGGTGGGTGGGGGGGAGGTCAGGGTGCACTGGAACTGATTGTGATTGCACTACTGATTTTAAAGTGATTTAACCATGGGCAGGGGGAATGTTCAAAATTGATTGTGGTGATTGTATAATTCTTCTTGATATGAAAGAACAATTGAACTACTGAATTATATGATGTGTGCATTAGATGCCAATAAAACTGTTTAAAAAAAAAAAGAAATATAAAAACCTTTTCTTTCCTACTACTTATAGTATTTCTTTCTCATATTAGATAAAAAATCAGATCTTCTCTTATGATGGTCAATAATGATTAATAAAACATAAACAATATAATGAGCATTCATGTACCCACCACCAAATTTTAGAAATATTGCTAGCACAGTTGAAGTCTCTGTGCATCCCTCCAAAGTCCTATATCTCACCCTCTATTACTATCTTAAGAGCCCAGGTGGTACTGTGGGCTAGGCTGTGCATTGCTAACCACAAGGTCAGCAGTTCAAACCGATCAGCTGCTAAATGAGAGAAATGAGGCTATGTGTTCCTGTAAAGATTTACAGCCTCAGAAACTCTATACAGGGTCAGTAGGAGTTGAGATCAAGTCATGGCAGTAGGTTTGGTTTGGGTTTGTTACTATGTTGAATTAGGTATTTGTCACTAACTTTTAAAAAATATTTTAATGCATAAGTATATAGCTATGAACTTTAGAGTACTATAATCCTTATAATAGGTCAACTTGCATCTAGCTCTCCAAAAGTCGCATCATGTCCTTAAAGAATAAAAGACCAGGGGCTCAAGTGGAAAGCAGATGTTTTGAGAATGATGATGGCAACAAATGTCCATATGTGCTTGACACAATGGATGGATGGATGGATGGATTGCGATAAGCATTGTACGAGCCCCCAATAAAATGATTAAAAAAAAGAAGAAGAAAAAGAAGAGATGCTAAGAACACATCTTTCTTGTACTACAAAGAAAATTAGTAACTGATTCTTCATGTCCTAGGAGCCCTGATTGTGTAGTGGGTTATGGTTTGGGCTGATAATCAAAGGGTCAGCAGTTTGAACCCACCAGCCATTTTCTGGGGAAAAGATGAGGCTGTCTACTCTTGTAAAGATTTACAGTCTCCGAAACCCAAAGGGCAGTTCTATTCTGTCTTCCAGCCACTCTGAGTCAGAATCAATTCAATACTAGTAGATAGTGGATACCAAGTCCTAGATTTATAATGGTATTTCAACTTTACAGTACTTTTCAACCTAAAAAATAAGTCAACCCCAAACATCAGCCTACATAGAATCTGATGATTTGCTGCTATTTTGTTTAAATTTATATTTAATCATACTTTTTAACAATGACAGCAGAGTTCTAAAAAATTACCCTACCGCAAATGTCCCCTCCTTCGAACTGTCAGTTATCTGTATGATTTCAGGGTTGTTAAGGGGGTGACAAAATCCATATGTTCACAAAGCACCATACAGATTAAGAATAAGAATCTCATGTACATGCATTATAAATTTCCAAATGATATTAACTTTCACTTTAAAATTGCTATGAGTGAGATGCAGTGGCTTTTTGGCCAATTATATTTTGATAATTGATAAATAATAAAATAGCACTGTCATGGAAGGAGGCTTTATAAGTTTTGAGTTTAAGTGAGGCTCATTTTTGTAAATTTGAAGCCTCTGCCCTAAAAGATTATGCCTGTTTCTATAGAAATCATCTATGTTCCGTATTTAAATCTTTTTTTTAATTTAAAAAATTAAATGTGGTAGCTCTTGAGTAAATCTTTGTACGGCATGTACCAGAGAGGAAGCATGGTTGCTTATGAGAGACAAAATGACACGGCAAAACGACAACAGAGCACAAGATGCATGCGCCTTTCTGCTTCAAGGTCACTTAGGTGAAATTCATGTGTTATATGATCAAATTAAGAGTTGAAATTTACTAGATTAGGAGAAAAATCCTCGTGACTTCCACACAGAAGGGTCAATGCCTAATAACCTAACCTCTTAGAATATATTCCAAAATTACCTCAGATTAAAATAACTGGATTTAAATGATTTATGAAGTCTCTTGATTAAGCAGATAGTTTTAAATCAGCACTGTACATTACAGCTGGTAGCTAGAATGATCACACATGCTGTGAATATATGCTATGCTTTATATTCAAACCAATTGACAAAACAAACCAAAACGTTCTTACTCAATTCTCAAATGTTTTATAAACCTTTAAATGATATCTGATTCTACTTTGAATTGAACAATATCCTTTCGTGCAAATTTCCCATTTCTAATCACACATTGAAGCAACTGGAAACAGTCAGGAGAGAACTTTTATATCATCTTCTCCCTCACCTTACTCTCCCAAGTTCCTGGAGTACGGAGAAGCTGCTCAGGAGGTTATATAAACCCTGCGGAATGTGTTTCTAGCAAGGATGCTTTAAAAATATAGAAGGGAGGTCAAGAATAACTGTTACCTAACAAGCAAAAAATAGGAGTGCAAAAAATAATTCATATGCAAGATGTCATACAATCAAGTCCTTGCCTTATGGAAAGAAACAGAGAATAAATAACAGAGGAAGACTGGTATGAAGCTTATGATTAAATCAGATCAAGCAAGTACTCCTGAGGGCCTCCTACCTTTACTGACCAGTTGCTTCTTAACAGAGAAGAACATAATTTTACTTGAGTCTGCAAATAAACTAGAAACCGCCTGAGGGTAGAGCTGTTTCTCCCAATAATGGCAAGAACCATGCTCTGCAGTGAGCATGTAAACAATATTCTTAGTGATTAGCTATGTCTCCAGTGTTTGCGACAAACATACAGACTCAGAGATGAACCTGCCTGAAGTCATACCCCTAGTGCGAGCAAGATCAAAACCAGACCTCGGGTCTTTTGTTTGTTCCACAACTCCATGCAATCAAAGTGCCTTTAATTCTCAGTACATGACAATAGATGACGTTCTTACTCCTACCTCGAATGAGGTAAAGGATTAATTTAACCAAAACCATCTTCAGAACTTTCTGCAGCAAGAGGAAAAATGCTACTCATGCCCTAAGTCCCTTAATTCATTATCCCTCTTGCAGAGATCACCCATGACATGCAAACAACAGACAGACTTCAGTTGTTATTTCGTGCACAATATAAACTAGGTCTTACGTTGGACCCTTCTCTGGACTTCTGGGTTTTTTTCTTTCGTTTTTTAGGAAAGGAATGATGACACTGTAACTCTACAATTTCAGGGTTTATGTCAAATTTATCATAGTGTTTATAAGTTAAAAAAATATAGACTAATATCTCCACGAATATAAGAGTTAAACAGCTGGTATCTAAAATTTAAGTTAAGATGAGCCTAGAGACAGCAAGTAGAATAAGGGCTTCTGGGGGGTACAGGGGGGTGGGGGGATGTATAAAGGGGAGATGAAATCAAGGTGTTTAAGAAGAAAGAGAATGTTTTGAAACAGACTGTGGGAGCAATTGTACAATACTGCTTGATGTGATTGAACTAAGGAATGTTATGATATCTATGTTTCCTCTGAATTAAAAGGTTTTTGAAGGTCAAGACATGATGGCCCTTCACTGGAATATGCCATAACAGAGGAAAATACTGGGGACCCACGGTGGGGAGTGAGTCTAGTCTGACCACCCCCACCGTGGGGAGAAGCAAGAAGCAAAGTGACAGGAGCAAATCAAAGCCATAAAACCTCTGAGGAGCGCTAAAAATAGACTTCGAGTCAGGAGGGGCAGTTCCCAGAATGCCCGGGACTGGTGGGGACATAGTCATAAAGGTCAGCAGTCAGACCTGGAATTATGTATGCTGTTTCGTTTTGGGGTTTTGGATTTTTTGTTATTTTTTTTCTTTTTTCTCTTTTTATTCAATCTTTTGTTTTCTTTGTGTTTTGTCTCCGCTATTGTTTTGTCAACCTATACAAGATAGGCATGGGAAGCAAGCATGAGAAGAAAGCAATGGGACCAACAGTTCTGGAGGGACTTGGGAGGAGGAGGAGGCAGGGAAAGAAGTGGTGAGCCATTAACAACATAGACAGGGGAACAACTAGGGAATTAAAATCAGCAAGGAGGACAGAGATCCCCGTGCTGTTAGACCAACAGTAATGTAAGAGGCATTACTAAGAGGCAGAAAAAGGGTGAGTGTGATGGCGGGGCAGGAGGAAAGTAAAAGGAAACAGAGAAAAGATCTAGGAAACAAAGATATGGATAGAGTTATAAACATAGGTGTGCACTTAAGTAAATATCGTAAGTCATAAAATAGTGGTATCGGTCTAAGTACATATATTTATATGGCAATACATTAAGGAAATGGATGGACTTTGGGCCTCTGCTAAAGCCCTCCCTCAACGCAAAGAACACTTTGTTCTAACAACCTGGCATTCTGTGATGCTCACCCTCCCACCACAATCACTGAAGACAAAGCAGGTGCATAAGCAAATGTGGTGAAGAAAGCTGATGGTGCCCGCTGTCAAAAGATATAGTGTCCCGGGTCTTAAAGATTTGAAATTAAAGCAGCAGCCATCTAGCAGAGAAGAAACAACAAGCCCACATGGAAGAAGCACACCAGCCCGTGCAATCATGAGGTGTCAATGGGATCAGATAACCGACATCAGAAGACCACGCCCCCCAAAAAAAAGCATACTGTTGAGAACGAGGGGGATCAGAGCAGAGACCCAAAACCCATCTATAGACAATATGACACCCTCACAGAAGGGTCACAAGGAAGGGATGGGTCAGCCAGGGCACAGTATAGCACCGATGAAGCACAATATTCCTCTGGTTCTTTGAGGTTTCCTCACTCCCCACTATCATGACCCCAGTCCTACCTTTCAGTTCGGGCTAGACCAGAGCATGTACACTGGTACAGATAAGAGCTCAGGACACACAGACTCCAAATCAGATAAAACCCTCAGGAACAGAAATGGGAGTGGCAATGCGAGGAGGAGGAAGGGGAACCAATCACAATGATTGACATATAACCACCCACCCTCCCCACAGGGGATGAACAATAGAAATGTGGGTGACGGGAGACAGTGATCCGTGTAAAACATGAAAATAATCATCATTTATCAAGGGGTCATGGGAGGGGGGGATCTGATACTAAAGGCTCAAATAGAAAGTAAACGTTTAGAAAATGATGGCAACATATGTACAAATATGCATGATATAATTGATGTATGGAATGTTATAAGAGCTGTTAAGAGCCCCCAATAAAATGATTTTTCAATAAACAAAACTTTTAATTAAAAAAGTTTTTGAAAAATAAAACTTGAGTTTAAACAATAAAATAATTACCTTTAGTTTGTTGGCTTCATTTTTATCCCCAGCAAAAAATGAATTCTCATCAAAATGCAAAGGAAATGATCTGCATTTTAAAATAGAGAATATTCATTTCTACTTGTTATAAAATATCAGAAGTACTGCTAATATAACATTTTGATGGTCAGTGATAATAAAAATCAAAATACAGCAGAAAATATAATAAACCAAAATGAATTCTTTAACCCCAAACCCAAGCTATTCAACTAAATAAAATATGATGCACATATTAAGTAGCAAAACTGAAAATGTGTACTTTATAGTTGTTCCCAGATGAACATTTTAAAGATTAAAAAAAAACACCTAAATGAATAATAATAGCTTTTAATTATTTCTAAATAGTTTTCTTTTCTCTCAATAGATATTTAAGAATTTAAGTTTCAGTAACACTTATTCTTCTTCTACTATTAAATTCTAGAACATCATTTACTTGACTTCATGAAGTATCTCTAGAAGTAACATCTTGTTTTCCGCATCCTGAGCTTTATTTCCAGTGAACAGTTGAAAATCTGGGCGCTCAAAGAATGGCAGCACTTTGGATAAAGCCCTTAATTCTATTAAATAGAGAAAATACAAGTTCTTAAGCCTTCTTGGTCCTTCTCCCTCAGTCAAAATCCCATCAAACCGCTGTTGGAATTCTGTAATGTTGTGTCCCCATTTCTTTTCCAGCCATGTATCTGGGAAGAAAGAATATTGTAAAATTAAAATTTGAATTTTAAACATTTTAATTATACTGGGATATTTGTACCTATAGAAGTTAATTTTGTGATGACTATATTTCATAAATTAGCCTTTCATATTCTTTTTTTTGCCTTTAATATTCTATACTAATATTCTATCGCCTAGATAAAATGAATTCAAAGTTTTACTAGACCAGATTTTAATAAAAATCAAATTCCTGAATATGAACATATCTACCAAACACACAATTATAAAACGATGACCTGAAATTACCAATAAGTTTGAAGCACGAGTTAAAGCGAAGCTATTATATTCTAAGACATAAGAGTTATTTGAATTCCAGAAGAAATATGTTACTGGTGAAACTTGCCCATGGTCTCACTTGTCAACCAGCTTCTTCTAACAAAGAGCATCAAGGAATGGTCTCCTCCACTAACACAGGTAATGTTGGAGGCACACATATGAAAACATTCTGATACAGTAAGATTTCATTAAAGCAAACTGTGCTGCTAAGAACCATTTCAATTTCCCAAACAAAATGCAGGGATATTTCCAAAGTGTTTTGTGAAATTGTGAGCAGCTTCTTCAAAGGAGAAAAGAGCAGGGGTCGTGGTGAACTGTTCCTTACAGGACCTACAATCCTGATTACAGTGAACCCTCGCCACTTCGCGCTTCGACTTCCGCGGCTTCACTCTATCGCGGTTTTTGCATAACAGCACATGCTCTGTCATTACTGCCACTGATTGGCTCATACTGTACACGCTTCTGTCTGCATCGCTA